TTAGTAGCAGAGCTACTGCAAGGGATTTTCAGTGCTGGAAATCCATTTTTCCTTTCTTGAAACTTCCGCGTCGTCTCGGAGAGCGCAGGTCACGGTCGCTTGCTTCGCAAAGATGCCACGAAAGCGCAAGCTCCCGAGCGCTTTGGAAAGAAGGAGAGAGCGGTGCGGCTGGCGTTTCCCACGCGTTTTTTGGCGCGACATGTGAACGGCCCCAAAGTCTGTCTACACTGGATGCGACAAAGCGACAGTTGCTAATCATTTGAACTTTGTGTCAGTATATCATGCAGTGTGAACTCGGCATTACTGTCGGGGATTTATTGTGTGTTTTTATACAGTCTATGGTGGCGCCCCATCCAGTGTAGTCAGTCACACAGCATCACTGATTAAAATGGGTTCTATTGTATTTTGTCTCATCGCAACGTGCCGCTCGCGTCCAGTGTAGACACAGTGAACGGGGCTTGAGAGCCACGCAGATGCACGTGAACACCGAATTCCATTCACTTCCGCGTCTATTTGTGCCTGAAATTCTGTGCTCTGCAAGTATCCTTGTGAACACAGATGCTTATGGCTCAGGTGAAGGTAAACAATTGAGAAAGAAAATGGATGTGTAACAGTATATTGGTTTACACACACTTTTGTGTGCGCGAGTGACAATCACGCAGTGTGAATTATCAAAGGGATCTGAGGGAATCGCCGATGCCTGCAAAATATTTGGCATGCTAAATATCTGGAACTGTCGGCGATTCACAATCACGCTGTGTGCAATGATTTCTGACTGAAAACGAAAATATAAAGCACAGCTTATTTCATTTGTATCTTTGTTCTGTTATTTATCTATGCTTGTAATTTTTTTATTTCCTGTGCTGATTTACTCTCCTACAAAATCACCCCAATCACTGATTATTTTTTTCCAAATAGAGCTATTGAAGTCATCTGATTTTTTTTTCATATCGCAATATATATCGCAGAAAAAAAATATCGCAATGTGAGTTTTTTCCAATGTTGTGCAGCCCTACAAGGCACTGCCACCTCCAACCTTCCTTACACAAACAGTTACGAGGACAAATTTAGTTCCTGATCAGGTCATGCCCTCCCATTTAAAAGTAGCATAACTAACGTCAGCTAACCCCTGTGGAGAGCGTGATCGCATGTGAAAGTAGGTTGTTCTTAAGCCTCATGTTTCTATAAAAGTACAGCTGAGCTGAGCTGCTATTGTGAAGCATGACTATAAAGCTCTATATGGCCTCAAGTAGAGGCTTTTTCAAGGGTCTGAATATTCAGTTACTGCAGTTTATGTAATTAGTTTAGATTGATGTTATTCTGCGCTTTCTATTCATCTCTCTCTTATCCTTTCTTTTCTTTCTTTTTTTCTTTAACCCACTTTGACTCTTGACAGCCTCCATCTGGCCAGTTGATTGTAACGGTTTATTCACATGTTTGTGATTTATGATTATCCAGTATTGTTTTCCAGTAGCTTTCAGTTAAATGAAGAGATATCATGCTTTAGACTTATTAAACCATCTGTCACGTTTCTGTGTCCTCTGTAGCTGAGGCTGTTTGTGTTACAAATCCACAGTAAAGAACTTTATGCTGAATTTCAATAAAACAGCTGACTGTCTGACACCTCTGATAAAGATAGTCAGAGCGTCACAGGACTATGCACTAGGAACATAATCTCTATCAAAAACAAAATTACTTTGAATCTGTGTCTGGTTTATTGTTTGAATTTATGTTGTTCTTTTATGCCAACAGATGACCAGGAAGATGAGGATGCCATCGTCAACAGAATATCGTGAGTTGTTTGATATTCACCATATCGGGCATGATAACAAGTACTAATTTTTTATTGTGCATTTAAAGGATCCAGTTATATACAACTTAATATCAGAGAAACTTTAGTCTAACATTTTCCTATAAAATCGTCCACTGTACCTTGAATTGTAGTCACTTGTTTTCTTAATATAACACCATATTATTACATAATTATATCACCATAAATGGGAAAATAAAACTGATTAAAAATCATTAACAAAGTATAAAAAGTATTGACATGACACACTTTGTTTCCACTTTTTCTCAGTATGTACCTGTGTACATTCACACTGGCAGTGTCTGGAGGGGCTGTCCTTCTCTTACCATTTTCTATAATCAGTAATGAGATCTTGCTCTCCCTACCAAAAAACTACTACATACAGTGGCTCAATGGATCACTCATTCATGGTCAGTATCACACCTTTTTTTAATTTTAATTTTATATACTTAACAAATAGTCTTACATAACAGCCCTCTACGGACACCTTGGCAAAAGAATTGCCATTGGCTAGTAAATTGTTTAGTTTACTCTCCAGTCTAAAATTTAATATTTAATATACTAATGCCAAAATACCACTAAACCAACCACCTGCTGACTGCATATATCTACTACAGTACACGCACGGATCCATTCAGAATAACGAAACGGCAACATACACATGACAAATCAAAACATTATCGTGAATTTGTGTGGAGACAACGTGAATGTACGGAAATGTCTGTGCCTGTACAAAAATACAATGTGCGGTCAGTGCGTCAAGAGCACTCATACACGCATGTATTATAACGGACACACGCGTGCTTACTGTACGACTCCTGTATGCCACGGCAATCTTCTTTACCTTGATTGCAGTCTTCATCCATCAAAACTTTACTAGCGAGACTGGTTATCAAGTCGAGAAACCATAGTTTGCATCTCATCTGGCCGTACAGCGGTGGGAGGTGTTGACAATCCGTTCAATCTGTACTTCACACAGCGCATGTGACGTGTGAGGGCTCACGCTCTTCAGAGACAATCACAGAATATGACAGAGCTCGTGTTTAAAAGCGAAACACACTGGAATGAATAATTCACTGAAAACGCAACGCAAGTCTCTGTTCTCTCTGCAATCTCTGATGTAATCAGCCTGGTTTCCTTTATATTAGCGCTGTTTTGGACGGATTGTTTGAATGCTTTCGCTTACTGGATCATTGGACTGAAAAGTTTCCCGGAGTTTAGCTGCTTAAAATGATCTAATCGCAAGCAGAGAAGCAAAATTTGCATATGTGGTTTCAACAATCAGATGCATTTACACTTGTCCAGTTTCATCTGGAACGTCCCAGACCACCTCCTGAAGTGGTTTGAACGATTTATATCCGTCTCGAATGCGTTTCGGAGGGCATTTAGACCTGGTCTTTTCACGATCGGATGGCTATCCGATCAGACAAAACGCATGAAGTGACCAGGCGTAAACAGGACCTAAAACACACTAAGGATTAACCAGCTGCTGGGTTCATGAATATTAATCAGGTTGTGTGTGTTCGCTCTAATTGATTTGCTAAAATCAAAACAAGGACGATAATAGGTGAGCACCAGCCAATGAGATTGCCGTTTGCGTGTTAGTTCCGCCCACTTCCGGAAAACCCAGCTGTTCTTAAAAGCTGAAGAATTCCAAAGGATCTCTGTTATTTTGACAGGAAAATACAACAAAGAATATAATTTCCATGTAGCGTGTCTCTCTCTCTCTCCCTCTCTCTCTCTCGCTCTTACTCTGTCTCTTTCTTTGCGTGTGTGTGAGACAAAGCGACGACGAGTAATGCGCCTTCACACTAGAGATTACGGTATGTCAAATTAAATACAGGTACGATGCCTGCGCATCCATTGAGATGAACTGAAAAATAGCACAGATCGCTTGATGGAGAGAGAAACTCTGAAGCGCTCAGTCAGAGAGTGTTCGGCGAGTTAAAATATATCTGTGCTATACTTATACTTAGCCTCCAACTCACACACTGGCGAGTAAAATCTAAGAATTTATTAGCCATTGGCTAATATTAGACATCATTTAGTCACCCAGAGTGAAGATATAGTCGCATATGCAAGTGATTTACTCGCAATGTAGAGGGTTGCATAAGGCTGTACCCTATTGTCTGTATATGCATTAGGTGACATTCACAGACTGTTGTAGAAATGAATGCTGCTTGTGTTCTGCTAATGGTTTACTTTGTTCTTCCAAATACGCATTACGTTATTTGTTCTTACCTTTTGATACTTTTCATCTAAATTCAAAAGTTTAATTTGTGTGTTTCATAGAAAGTGTTTATTAAAATGATTTGTGCACTGAGCAATGTATGTAATGTTTAATTTGTTGTTGGGGCCATACTTCTCCCATTTCTAATCATTTCAATACAAAAAGTATTTTTCTCCTTAGCTTCAGTCATGGCCACAAGGTGGTGTCATGTGTCTATTTTTTGTGCTGATGGTTTCTCTGTTAAACTAACCTGGGCTGTGTTTCCCAAAAGCATCATAAGCTTAAGTACATCGTAGACCCATTGAAACCAATGGAGCTACGATCAACTTAGGCTTTCAATGCTTTTGGGAAACGCAGCCCTGAGCTTTTGAGAGCAGTTTTTTGGGTTGTTTTATACGAGAATGGGGTGTTGAAAAAAAATTAAGACTAGAAGTTTGATTCTTTAACTTTTTTAATTCATTGGTTTTTGAGGAAAAATATATTAAATCGTTTTAAGTGTGTTAAACCAACTAAATGTTTAATGAACAAGGGATGGGGGGATTGTTTTCCAATTGCTGTTATTATGTAAAATTAAAATTGATCAGGTTAGTTTTCTAAACTGATTTCTCTTTCTTCAGGCCTGTGGAACCTGATGTCCCTTTTTTCAAATCTCTGTCTCTTTGTGCTGATGCCTTTTGCCTACTTCTTCCTGGAGTCCGAGGGCTTCGCCGGTTCGAAAAAGGTATGTGGTTATGTGTGTTTGTGTGTTTTCTGCAAGCTTGAGGCTTTGTCATTATATTATGTATAGGACACACACATAAGATGCTAAAGGCATTTTTACACATTTGTACAAACCAGGTATGTGCCCTTACTCACCCTCGCTTGGCCAAACACGCACACACGCGGTTTTATGTGTGACCCTTTTGATTTCAGCCACTCCCCCACCCTAAAAAGATAAAAGTTCAAAAGCAGAGCTCTCTTAATTCTACAGCTCATTCAAGCTTATGTCATTAGTCACTCAAACAAGGGGTGTCACCGGTGCTCATAGAGACCGTAAAGCAGCAAACACAAGGCGTCACAATAGAGCGTGCAGATGAAAATGAAAGGGTGGGAGGGAATGCATCAAGTTGCCCTCCGTCTTACTCTCATCACAGTTTGAAGTCGCTCCTGGTTTATGTCCCTTCTGGCAAAGCTACATAAAGATTAGTTGCTACTGTAGTTTATGAGGGCTGCACTCATTTGTACGGGAGCGAGGCGTACTGCTTCGTTTTGTCTCGTTTGCACCATGACTGTTTCTGGCCATTGATCAACCAGAAACACAGGAGAGAGGGAAGCACTGCTTTATGTTGGCCTACACGTCTCAGAATGACCGGTGTAACGTATGTGTGTGTGCGTGCGTGTGTAGCGAAAGAGAGGAAACGATCAGAAACTGCCGCTTGTATGAAAGCCCCCTGCTGATACAGGGAAGGGTTAAGTCGTCAACCGTAGAAGCCCATAAAAGCAAGATTTCATGTTTTCTTTTTAAGTATAAAGTCAAATGGCCTGCTTGTGCCAGTCTCCATGTTAGATGGTTAAATGGGGACATATATATGGCAAATTACATTCAGTAACTGGAGGAAATGAAACTGGGTAGTTTGTTAAAAGCTTGTGAGAGCTGTAGCTGGTGCGTTTTATGGGCCAGTGTTTGCATTAGTACTTCATCAAATGTAATAAACAAAACCAAAACTCTGTGGGGAAGGAAAGTGTGTGACTGCTTCAGAGAAAGAGAAAGACTGCTTTCTCTCCCTCTTTCTCGCTCTCTTTAGAATGAATTAGAATAATTAAGTTTCTTAGTCTCACCAAGGCTGCATTTATTTGACCAAGATTACAGTAAAACATCAATATTGTGAAATTTTTACAATTAAAAAAAATTGTTCTTTGTTTGAGAATATTTTAACATATTCATGTGATGGCAAAGCTGAAATTTCAGCAACATTACTCCAGTCTTCAGTGTCACATGATCCTTCAGAAATCATTCTAATATGCTGATTTGGTGCTCATGAAATATTTCTCATTATCAATGTTGAAAACCGATGTTCTGCTTAATAGTTTTGTGTAAACCATGATACAGTACCATTTAAAAGTTTGAAGTTAAGTAAAATAAGTAAAAAAGGGCAAGAAATAGCACTTTCATTCAACAGAGATGCATTAAATGTATCAAAAGTGTTAGTAAAGATATTTGCAATATTATTTTTTAATAAAAATGTATTTATTTAATTAAATTTTTTTTATTATATAATTTTTATTATATTTACTTTTGAACTTTCTATTCATTAAAGAATCCTGAAAAAAATGTATCGCAGTTTCCACAAAAATATGAAGCACTTTTCAACTACTGAACTGGATGCTTTAGTTTTTTTTCAACGTTGATAATAAAGCATTTCAAATTACAAAATAGCATATTAGAATGATTTCTGATGTATCATGTAATCATGTGAAGGACCTGAAGTGTGAAAATTTAGCTTTGCCATCACAGGAATAAATTTCATTTTAAAATGTATTAAAATAGAAAACTTTTTTTATTGTAAAAATATTTCACAACATTACTGTTTTTACTGTATTTTTGATCAAATAAATGCAGGCTTGGTGAGCATAAGAGACATTTCTTTAACATTAAAGATCTTCTTTATCTTATTTAGATTACTCTTTGAACCTTTGAATGAACACACAAAGCTTGTAAGGGTGCTCCAGATAGACAGATGTGTGTAGCCTGGGCCTGTAGTTCTGATTTTGTCCAACAGATGGCAGGATTATGATTTCACTAAGAAAAGAGCCTGATGCCCCAGTCAGTGTAACATTAAAAAAATCCAGTGAGAAGATCCTTATGGCCTCCTAATTCTCTACGATGCACATGGAGATAGCACTACTAAAATCTATTGGTTATTATCACAATGCAAATGGACATCACCTAACTGATTCCTTAGGAATGACATGAACCTTGAACATGCTAAAAATGATCTTTCTCTCTGTGTGTGTGTGTGTGTGTGTGTGTGTGTGTGTTTGACCGTCTCTTCCTTTGTAGTCTGCCCACAATAGGGCTGATATTTATTTTTGAGATGTGATTCTGGCTCCCAGGCTTTGCTTGCTAAGGCCATGACACTGCGTATTTACTTTGCCTGCGCCCCATTCTATACCCGTTTCTATGACAACATATGAGTTTCTGTATTTTGACGGGAAAAGGCGCAACACTGGATTGGATAATAGCCTCCATAGTCAAGCCTTAGAAAGCGTGAATGTTTGTATGTATTGAAATGTTTCTTGCGAGGTTTACTTGAATGCAAATTAATGTGTGTGCACCGTTCACTACCATCAGCACTGCGACATACTAGAGGGACTTATTAGTTTGACTATTGCACTGTATGTGTTTTAGTACTTTTAAAAATTATTGCCTGTTTGCTTTTCTATTTCTTTTGTAATCATCTCTGCTTTTTATTACTCTTTTAAACATTTTCTTGACTTTTAACATCCTGCTGTTTGTGTTCTTGACAAACCCCAGATTAGTTCAGAAGCTGTTCTCAAAGGTCTTATTTGTTAGACACCTCATGCTAACAAGAAAAAGATGGTGACACTGTAGGAAGAGGGATAAAAAGAAAATGAAACACACCCACAAACTTCAAAAGTACTGAAGTGCCTTCCTTAAGTCATATATCCTGTTTTCTCGTCATTTTGACGGGCTTCTAGCGTATTAGTCAGAATGGCACATCAATGGCTTGTGTGTGTGTGTGTGTGTGTGTTGATACACATTGATTCATGTCCCCTGTGTGTTCTGCGCTCTGTTTTGTGTCTCTGACACTGCTTTCAGTGTAGCAGGCTTAAAAAGAAGGTAATGACTACTGTTCATGCTAAGCCTTTATTGATGGATGTCAGTTCATGGAGAGGAAATCATAGTGGACAAGGGAAATACACTGCATGTTTGTGAACTTTTCTGTTGTTTTGTGTACAAGATCAGAGATTCGAATTTTGTTCAAACTCTTCCTGCAGTCAAACTCTTTGGGAAAATCTCTCTTTCTTTTCATTCTTCAGTCTGACATGCACTAAATATTAATAACATTTAAAATGTGTCTTTATTATATTCTATTTTTGCTTGTTACGCAGACATTGATTTGGAGCATGAGAGAGCAGTTTGTGACCCTGACGCTGACTGAGGGTGTGTAAGGTCAGGGAGAGCCCTCTTCGAGTGAATCAGACTAATAAAACATGCATAAATGCAAACACTCGCTTTTCCATCTAGCCTATATCTCTCCCCTTGTCTCCCTCACACATACATACATTTCTTGGAAGTCAACATGATATTAGCAGCTGTCCGATTAGAGTATACTGCAGTGTGTGTGTATGTGAAAGAGAGAGAGAGAGAGAGAGAGAGTGTGTGTGTGTGTGTGAGAATGGACTAGATGCTGAATATTTTAGAGTTACTATATTAAGCAGTGCTCGCATTTAGATGGGCAAGAGAAGAAGAGCTCAAGCCATCTCTGGCTTTTCTGCCACGTCTCTCTCTCTGTCTTGGCTATTCATCTCTCTGTTCTTGGCTGTATTTGTTTTCTTTTTTTTTTTCCAAATACATTGAGAGGTCTGTACTAGTTACTTTAGCAAAATAGCCTTGTGACACCTTTGCATGCATTGTTTTTTTGTTGTTGTTTTTGCAGATTTTCAGTGTTATTTATGGACACAGATTCTTTAAATGCGCTAATTCACAGTCTAAATATCAAAGGTTCAAAGTCCATTGAGGGGAGATTGATATGAGGCAGATGTTGTTCATCAGGAAGTCACTTGGAGGTGCTCTAGATTCTCTTAATATCAAGAAGAGCTATTAAATACTGCACATATACAAAGTCCCTAATGGATTGAGACAGACGTGTTTAAAGGAATCGGGTAATGTAGACGCTTGAAATTGTGTGAAAGGGACAGGTGAAGGGAAATCATCTTCATGGTCAGATGTGTATTTTTTGGATTATTGCTTATAAATGCTTGTAGATAAGTTTGTCACTTGTATCTACTGTCATTGTGAGTGATGGATGTGTACACTGCCGTTCAAATGTATGAGATTGGTAAGGTTTTTTGAAAGAAGTAGTCTCTTATGTTCACCAAAGCTGCTTTTATATGCTCAAAATACGAGAAAATATTACTGTAATGTATTGGTATAATTTAAAAAATGTTTTCTATTTTTATGTATTTTAAATGTAATTTGAAGCTGAATTTCCAGTGTCACATGATCCTTCAGAAATCATTCTAATATGCTGATTTGCTTATTATTAAAACAAGTTGTGTTGCTTCCTAATTTCATGGAAACCATGATACATTTAATGCATCATTGCTGAATTTCTTTCCAAAAAAAAAAAAAACCCTTACTGACACCAGACTTTGGAACTGTTTGTGTGTTTTCTGCCCAGTGAAAGAGCAGACTCATCTCATCACAATGTTGCAGTTTACAAACACTTGCAGTCACCAACATCAATATGTAGGTTCGGGGGGGACACAAGTAAATCAGGAGTGGAGTTAAATGCCACACATAAGGCACTTACTGAACCAGAAAAAAACTCCTAATAGTTTCCAGATGAGCCTCTGGAGTTAATCTCAGACAGTAGCAGCCACCTTTTTCATTTTAGCCGCAAACTCCGACCGGACATGGTAATAACTGTTCATATAATTGTGTGTGTGTCAGTGAATGAGAGAGAGGAAGGTCATTAGTTTCTTTGTGCATCTGGTGACCTATTGTTGTGTGTGCGTTTTGTATTGGGAAGGGGGCTTGACATTGAGTCAGTGTTATAGGGAAGTCCCGGGGCTTCCAGAGTTAAATTTCCAATTAGAGCCTCATTTACACCTGCTGATCTGTGTGTGTTTCTGAATCACTCTTGGCTACAGCCGCAAGTAAACCTGAAAACATTAAAGCGGGTGTTTGTTGGTTTCAGGGCATAAAGGCTCGAGTGCTGGAGACATTTGTCATGCTCTTTCTGCTGGGTCTCCTCATCCTGGGCATTGTATGGGTGGCATCCGCTCTCATCGACAATGATGCCGCCAGCATGGAATCGCTCTACGGTTTGTCTCTTAACTCTCCTCCTGCAGTTGTGGATGCATGCATGTGATGTAATCCGTTATGTATTGATCTGTGGTTTATTGTCATGTTCTCTTGTTCTAGATTTATGGGAGTTTTATCTGCCATACCTCTACTCCTGCATCTCTCTGATGGGAGGCCTGTTGCTGCTTAGTAAGTTCACATGAAACCGTGCTGTCAGTGGACTCTATGCACCATCACTTTTGTATTTAGATCTCAGTGGATGCTGTAACTTTCAATGCAGTGAAGAGTATGAAAATTGTGAGGAAAATTAAGCACTGTCTTATGAAGACCTTGAAGTTGGACAGTTTTTAAACGTATTGGAGGGCAAGTGTTGCAGTTTGGCTGTTTTGAGTTGAACCTCCTGGTTGAGCATCAGCCTTTTATTTTCATCTGTTTAGAGGAAATTAAGAACAAATTAAATCTCGACAAAGTGTCCCATAGCAGGAAAGTTTTCTTGATACAATCCACTTTGACAATAAATGTACTCATTACTAAATTACTAATATGTTCATATGTAATATATAGGCATGGGCCGGTATGAGATTCTGACGGTATGATAACCTTAGATAAAAATATCACGGTATTGCGATTACAGCTCTAAAATATGTTATTTTTTAAATGTCTGGGTAAAAAAACAACTTTTTTTTCCACTGAACACATTTTATTTTTAAGAAACATATAGAATAAGTTTGGAGCTATGGTTTGGAGCGGTGAGGTACGTCGAGGATGTGTGCACATACACACATAAGGAACGAGAGAGCGCGAGTGTCACACACACACACACACACACACGCGTAGTCCGTACAACACTCAAAAATTTTTTTTTAAAATGCGTTATTTTGAACAGATGTAAACAATGGCAGGAGGCTGAAAAGTATAGACGTGATACCAGCTAAATTTAATTATTGTACTAAATCGCAGAAAAGTAGGCTACAGTACTTACTTTAGACTGCTATTCCTCACTCTGTGAAGTAACGTGAGGGAGGAAACTAGTTGACGTTAGCTAGTTAATTAGCCATGTACTTCCATTTCTTTCAGGATAAATGAATGAATTCACGTGTTGTAAATCGGTCTGTAGGCCTATAGCGCACACAGCCCCTAAATTTAGGAATCAACTATGCATATTATAAACTTAACATTTAACGTACAAATTTTTTTCTATTAAATGATTCTGTCTTTGTTACTCTTAGTTATAAAGGATGGTAGCACAGCATTTTTTCTGCCAAAATATTATGTTTACTACCCAGCAGGCACACAACGTCATAAGATGTTGATATTTGGTTAAATTTCGGTTGCGACGTCGAGTGACAAATTTAATGTCAATTCAACATCTAATGTCAATGTTAATTTGATGTCCAATACTGATGTCAGCTGATGTTGATATTTGTTTTTTTTATTGGTTGTGTAACCAAAATCCAACGTTAAGTCAACGCCAAATTGGCGTCAAATACTGACGTCAACACGATTTTCATTCTCAAACAAAATTAATCGTCTTTCTGACGTTATATTGACGACCTGTGCCTGCTGGTTAATATAGTATAATGTAATATTATGTAATATAATTTGTTGACCAGCAGTTATTAAAAAAATGACTGAAAAAGTACTACCACAGTTTGCTGTGGGATAGTAATATACTGGAAGATATTTTAGTGGAAATAGTAAGACAGTCAGCGTGGATGGAGTGCTTTAGGGCTGAGAAATATTTTGAATATTTATGATGTGTTCACAATAATTTTGCTGGCAATATAAAATTCAGCAAAACTGTGAACAAGGCAGTTATGCCTATGCAATTATTCCTATGTATTGTTGTATTGGTGCATTGGGGCAGTCGTGGCCTAATGGATAGAGAGTTGGACTTGTAACCCGAAGGTCGCGGGTTCGAGTCTCAGGTCCGGCAGGAATTGTCGGTGGGGGATTGAATGACCAGCGCTCTCTTCACCTTCAATGCCACGACTGAGGTGAGACCCTTGAGCAAGGCACCGAACCCCCATCTGCTCCCCGGGCGCCGCAGCATTGGCTGCCCACTGCTCCGGGTGTGTGTTCACTACTGCGTGTGTGCAGTTGGATGGGTTAAATGCAGAGCACAAATTCCGAGTATGGGTCACCATACTTGGCCACACGTCACTTTCACTTTCATACAATTAAATTGATTAATTCCTTCTTTTGTTCATTTAGTGAAAAACAGTGTGGAAACATAACTAGATTGTTACATTTGAATACTTTAAGCAGGTTGAATCTCATTGGCAGCAGTAGCTGTTTGGTTGAAATGGTTCCTCTGATTAAAATGGCTTAAAATATATTTTCCAGAGCAAACAGATACATATTAAGATGTGTTATTTAGACTTGTTTCAGCCACTGTTACAGTAGTTAGATAAATTTGAACTAGTTCAAAGGTTGCATTCATACTTTTGCTTTAGAAAAGCATAAACGAGCATGTGTGTGTTTAAAGCAGCTTCTTGTCTCTTCTCATCAGTGTGTACTCCAGTAGGACTGTCACGCATGTTCACAGTGATGGGCCAATTACTAGTCAAACCCACAGTAAGTACTATTACACCGTATGCATTTGTTAAACATCCACTCTCATTCTCCCTCACACTCTGTTCCTCTCTTTCTCTGTCTGTAAAGATTTTAGAGGATCTGGATGAGCAGATTTATTGTATACAGCTGCAGGAAGAGGCCTTGGAGCGTAGACTCAATGGTAAGTGTTTTTGATTTTATATGATGGGCAAATGCATGGTTTATTTGTATATTTGTATTATTTTCTGTATTACCTGAATAGCAGCGGATTATTTGCATCTGTAAATTCTAGCATTTATTCCGCTGCCAAAGTTTTGGTGATGTTGCAAGAAATGTAGCCTATTAAGTTGGGTTTAGTTGGGTGTTTTCTTACATTTTTGAGAAAACATTAATTCATCACAGTAATAAATGATAGTGTACAAATAATGTTGTATTTGATTTATTTTTAGTAAAAAAAAGAAAAAAAAAGAGGAATCTAATAGATTTATGTCCCTGTTGAACCACCCTCTCATGTTTTCTCACTTTCTTTAACTCTCTCCCGTAACCCCCCTGTATCTGAGAAATAATACCCATATGCTCCAGTGTTTCCTAATCCTACAGGATTTTGTTTGATTTAAATCAGATAAGTAAGTGGTGAAACATCATTAAAAATATACTATGAAGTTTTCTCATACTCGTACGTCTTCTTTTAGCTGACTTTTATTCCCATACACAAACATCCACACAATGCAGGAAGTGTTCATGTTTAAAGCCAAACTAGACTTTTGCTTCAACTCATGCACGCAACAGAGTGTACAGATGCCAGTCAACATAGAACATGTGCTTTTCTATTGAATTCACGGAGGTAAGCTAGATCATCTTAACTGATAGTGCCCAGTTGCTCAAATCCCATGGATGAATTTCAATAACCTCTCATTTGGTTGTTTGGTTCTGTAGTGTTAGCACCAAAGGCAGATTTGCTTTGAACACCTGATAAAATAATTGTAATCTGTTTTAACGATTTTCGCTTCTTTATGATTGCCGTTTGATGTGAGGCGCATTGGCAGTCACTGTGATTGGGTGACAAAAGGGTACTAGGGATGTGCAATGTGATTTTGGCAAAGCTCAAAAACTCTGCGTTACAGGAAGATCTCGCTCGGGCGTTAAGGAGAGAACGATTTTACCTTATCAGAAATTTAAGGAATTTTCATTCTTTTCTTCTTTCACCCCATAAATGCAAAACCTGAGGTGAAGTTGGGGGGAAAAGAGTTCAGGAGGAAACTGTCTACTTTGCTTTACTCTCTTATCTGTGTTCTATCTAATAACAATTATTCAACTGACTGTAACTTCATTTAGATCCTACATGCCTGCACACGCTCTCTTGCAGACCCTTGATATGGGCTAATTCATAAGTTTGTTAGCTATTACATTAATGCCCTGATCTGCATCTCTACTTTCTCATGTCATCAGTTGAGGCCATTAATACAGGTTAAAGTATTGAAGTATTAATCTGAATGCATTCATGTAGTTGCACGAATGTGAATGTGCGCATTAGAGCACTTTTTTCTGAACTGTGGCAGAGTCTTGCAACTGTGTGTTTAGGTGCATTTGTCTGAGTGTATGCTTTCATACCAGTCCGGGTGCAGGCATTTGTTTGTCCTCTGTCTTGGCTCTTGCTATGCTTTTCTCTGTTGCCCAGATGCTCAGTGGCAGGATGACCTTGCAAAAACTCTCCTCGGTACCGGATGGCTCTCTGCTTTGCATAATTACCACTGACGTAATGCAGAACTGGCTGAAGTTTCTTTAGAAAACAATGACATCATCTCCTCTCCTTCTGCCAGCATCCCTTGCTACTGAGCATCACCTTTATCACCTTAATTGAAGGGCTGTATTCAAGAGTTTTCTAATCTTCTTGAAATGGAGACAGCAGCGGTTCTGAAATTATTGGCTGATGCCGTTTTTTTTTCTTAACAAACTATTGGATTTATTAGTGTTTTCCCCCACCATTGCTTATGTCATCAGGAATTAGGTTTTTAAGGGAATTTGGGTTGATATTTATTGATAATGTCATGAATGCACTGTACAAACAAAACTACAAAGAAACTATATCTGCAAATCTGTAGATGATACAATGCAGTAAATGTACCTAATTAATAATAATCATTTTTCTTTAATAACAGTACATTTTAAGCTTCTGAAAAGTTAAATTCACTATGGAACACAAGTACTTGGATTAATTCCTCTTTGTTGATTGGATTATGATATGTGGACACAAAAATTAATGCAAGCCTGCAGTCAAATGTGGAGGGGCAGGGTTTAGGCAGACTAAATGAATGGAGACCGGCATATAACCCTTTTTTAATGAAATGTAGATAAAGTAAAATAATATCTATTTAACATGCATTTATAAATTACATGAAAGTGAATTTTCATTTCATGCCAACTTTAAAGTGTGAAAGCATTGCTATTAATAATAACAGGAAATCAAAAGTTATTCTATACAGCATTCAGATGTCTTAACTGTTGTTCTTTCTCTCATTTTTCACTCACATCTTGTTAGCCCCTCAGGGCAGCCCGGAGCCATGTTTGGCAGAACAATCCAGTCCTGATCAGCTAATAGTGACATTTCCTATTTCATTGTTCTCACAATTTTGGTTGGAGGGTACAGATTTTCCCTAAAAAATCACCGGTATGGACAAGTTACACGATCCAGGAACACACCTGCTGTGTTTTTTCCTTTTAATAGATTTCTTTATGAACCTGAACCTCTACCAGACAGGGCGTGGTGCACTCATCATAATAATAATAATCACGTTTTGATCAAAGTGATTGACTCCTCAGCCTCATGTCGGTGAAAAGATGAAAGATTGTGTTTTTATTGCATGCCAGTAACTGTGTAACACTGAACTAATTGCTGCTGATCTGCCAGTGTGTCCCCCGAGGCTCTGCAAACCAATCCTCTGCTTTGAGGAGCAAATGAACCACTGAAACGGTGAAAAAAAATACCAGCATGAAACAGTAAAGTAACAGATAAATAAGAGCTAAATGAGACAGAAGTCTGTGGTTTTCCTGGAGAACCCCTCTCTGGTTTTGCCCTCTCACTCTCACCTCCTGACACACACACACTTAGAGTTCAGAAGAAACCTCAGTCCCCTCTTCCGTCAGAACCAGTCACAGCATGCACACGTCTGGCCTAGACTCTGCAGTTAGAGTATACAACTACTAGTGTTGGGGGTAACGCATTCCCAAAGTATACTTCAGTTCTGATGCAAACACTTAGTGTATGCTTGCAGCCAAATGCTTAGCATTGTCCATTTGATCCACACTCACAATCAATGGGCTGCACATGTACAGTACATGCCTACTGTGCAGTTGACGAAATTTATGTCATGCACAATTCAATTCAATTTAAACTTTTTCCAAGTAATTTTTTTTTTTTTTACCATGATATTTGAATTTCAAATATGCAACAAACATTACTTAAAAAAAAAAAAAAAAATTATTACACAAATGCCACCAGAAGCCTCTCCTTTCCCTCTTTGTCTTGAGACTCCATCCTGACACTGTCAAGTTTCTTATGGCAAAAACATAAAAATAAGACGTAAAACTAATAAGACATAATGTTTTAGGTCTTTGACCAGCATATCAGACATGCACCTTTCAAATGTGTTAACATTATTGTTCTCAGAGTATGAAGAACGTATATAAGCCATAAAAAAATAAATGACGAATGGCCAGTACACCTATTATTTTCATTATAAGCTATTTTTGATAGTAAAACGTTATTTTAAGGTGTCCTTGTTACACGTTACATGTACTTACTATTGTAATAACAATAATTTATGCATAATTACATACAAGTAACCCTAAGCCAAACCTTAATCCTAACCCTAACCATATAGTAAGTAATTGATATAATTAATATAACTCTGTACTTAAATGTATAATTACACTGTAACAAGGACACCTTCAAATAAAGTGTAACCTTTTTGACAATAAGAGGTAAAACTTAACAAAACGTATCAAACATGTTAATGATTTAATGTAATTAATCCTTAATTACATTATAAATTTTTTATTTATTGTTAGAATTTTTAGGTCCCACTTTATATTAGGTGGCCTTAACTACTATGTACTTACATAAAAATAAGTACAATGTACTTATTGTGTTCATATTGTATTCCAAAACACTTCTGCTGCTATTGAGGTGGGATACGGGTAAGGTTAGGGACAGGTTTGGTGGTATGGTTAGGCTTAAGGGTGGGCTAAGGTGTAAGGAAAGGGTCAACAGTGTATTTATAAATGTAATTACAGAAATGAATTACAGATGTAGTTACATGCAGGTGTTTTTTTTTAAATAAAAATACAATGTAAACAATAAGTGCATTGTATCAAATGATCAATTTAAATGAAAGGCCACCTAATATAAAGTGGGACTTTTTCTAATAACATATATTGCAATAATTCTATTTATTTTAAAGGACTAATGCAATAGTTTATTTTTCAAAACATTGTTTAACAGCACTGTTAACCACATGTGACATTGCAGATGTGTGGTGCTCATGAGATTTTCTTAATTGTTGCAGATGTTGAAAGTGGGAGAATTAGCACAGCAAAATAGAAGGTTTAATAGAATTGTTCAAATATACAATATGGCTGAACTGTGGTGATAAACCTCCTTCAGGGCACTGAACGCTCTCTCGCTTCTCAGGATGTTTAAGATGTTAAACTGCTACCTCCACACTGTGAAAGCTGTTTTTTTACTTTCAGTAAATGAATATATTTTTCTCTCTTGACAGATTTTCTGACAAATGGTGTGATTATATTAAGTAGGTACTTGAGTAACAGTTAAGATAACAAAGTTCAAACCACTGATTTATGTTCACATCCCTGCTGTTTTCTAGTGGTTTGATCTTTTTACAGAAGCTCTTAATAAGCCAAGGTAAACAGAATGATAGTATCTTTCTTTGTTTCAGCTCTTTGCTCTCTATCTGTCTTTTTCTAAAGCTCCAATTGTCTTTGTCTGTCACTCAGGTACGATGTCAAACTCTTATTTCCATGCAAACTCTCAGCACCATCTTTACAAAGAGCTGGACAACGTTCGCAATCAGAGGAACAAACTCGGTGAGAGATGTTTTTAACAACGTTTAATTAAACCAAATTAAACTCCGATTCTGTCAGCGCTGTCTGTTTCAAATATGTGTAGGCTGCAATATCCATTCCTCATAATATTGTTGAATTGCATAGTGTGTGCATAATTGAATGTGAACAGTCATTTGGACTGAGGCCAAATAGGGTATGGCTGTATCATTTTCGACGTCAGCCTGTGTTTTGGGGTATTATAAATGATTCCGGAGAGACGAGCAGTTGGAAGGAGAGGAGGCCACAAAGGCACTTAGGATATTGGAGTGTGATGCAAACTTTATTGTGGCTGTCTCTCCAAGTGCGGTCATTAATTTAGAGGCAGCATGGTGCATATGCAGGGAACCCTGCCAACCTCAGAGCCAGAGCAGAATCAGAGTGCGAGATGTTGAGAAGGAGAGGGTAGAGGACAGAGAGGCACAGGAGTGACAGACACTGGGATCGAGAAAAGATGTTCTAGAATTACTTCATGGATGTAGCAGGAGAATCCCTAATATTTGCCACTCTTCTGAACTATGCTGAAACCTCTGAACTGTGCTCACACAGATGTGGATTTACTTGAGTTAACCCAGAAATAACTGGTAGCTGTTATTTCAACACACTAATAAAATACAAAGCAATGAATTTTCTACAGTAAAGCTGTCGTTCTTATTCACTACCGTTCAAGGTTTTGTAGATGTTTTTGAAAGAAGCCTCTTATGTTCACCAAGGCTGCAGTTATTTGATCAAATTTACAGTAAAATTGTGAAATAATTTAAAATGACTTGTTTTCTATTTTAAAATGTAATTTATTCCTGTGATGGCAAAGCTGAATTTTCAGCATAATTATTAGCCTTCAGTGTCACATGATCCTTCAGAAACCATTCTAATATGCTGATTTGCTGCTCAAGAAGCATTTCTTATTATCAATATTATAAACCGTTGTGCTGCTTAATAACATTTTTTCTTTAAAATTCTCACTTTTTTTCCACATCACTTTTGATCAATTTAATGCTTAACTGCTAATTAAAAGTATGTTTCTATTCAAATTTTACTGACCCCAACCATTTAAACAGAAGTATGTGTTTGACACTTCACAGTAAGTTTTATTTGTTAACATTAGTTAATGCACTTGGTATCATAAACTGACAAGGACAATACTTTTACAGCATTTATTAATGTAGGTAAATGTTAATTTATACATGGACTACTACTTTTTAAAATTCTAAGCTAGTTTTATTTTATGTAATAATAATACATTTAAGCCTGTTCATTGCTTGTTCATTAAACTTGTAAAATGTTACACTGATGTAAATAGTGTATTTATTTGATAGCTCTGCTAGTTGAAAGATAATCTTCTGAAAATTGTCCTACATTAAATAGATATTTCATCTTTCTATAGTTAAGGCCCATTCACACCAAGAACGATAACTATAAAGATAACTATGACTGGAAAAAATTGTTCTGAAAGTGATTCCTACACAATATAATTTCTCAGTGCCTTTATCTTTATAGCTGTAGTGTGGACTCTGCTATTCTTTAATATTGAGAATGATTTTTAGAAATTTATCTTTATCGTTATCTTTATAGTTATTGTCCTTGGTGTGAACAGGCCTTTACTCTTTATCTTGGTTTGAAATTGTTTTTCTGAGGAATGGACTAATTAAAGGGATTGGGGATAAGTTGCTCAACGTCAGTTCATGGTAAACATACGTACCGCTAGTCAGAAACTACAATGTCGTTTCTCTCACCCTCTGTCCTAGAAAGGAGAAAGAAGGCCTCAGCCTGGGAAAAGAACCTCCTTTACCCCATAGTGATGCTGATCCTGCTTGCTGGAACGGTACGTGTTTATTTAGCCTTGGCAGGGTTATCATAACGAACCACAAAGCATGTGATTTGATGCCGTTTTTTTTCATAAGTTGGTTTGATGTTTCTTTCTACTGTTTATAATGCTTATGTTTGTTTCCATCCGTGCTGCTTGCAGGCGATTTCTGTTCTCCTGGTTGCCCTGAACATTGTGTACTTGCTTGTTGATGAGACGGCTTTGCCAAAGGGTTCAACGGTAAGAAAAATGCAAGTCAACAAACCTGAAAATATAAACAAATACTCAGCTTTTCGTTCACTTGCTCCCTCTCTCGCTGTCCTGCAAAAAGCACGCTTTGCATCAGGGCACACTGAATTCCAGATATGCTCAGGTGTGTGCTGTAGAAGAAAAGGCAGGTTGAGATGTGTATCATGTCACTGCTGTTTGATGCTTTTTATCAGAGTTGCGCTCCCATTCGCTCTGCTTGATGTCAATTCAAAGGCACTCATGCACCGTATGTGTGTGAAACTCTGTACACAGACCTCATTCGTCTTAAATGGGTGTTTTAAGTCAAAGCTCTGTAATGAAACCATCATTGCGCAATTTTCGACTGTGTGAAGACTAGTGCTGTGTTCGATACATCGATACGACGATGTATCGTCACAGAGATTTGACGATACGAGTATCGATACAGCTGTCCCAGTATCGATATTGTGGCACGTGTGCAGCAGTGGACCGAGCTTAATTTGAATACAAGAACAACGTTTAAAACGGAGTAGAAAAGTGCAAGGTTTCTAAAAAATAATGAATAGACCATAATATATAGGCTACAACAAGGTTTAATCTGGCCGCAGAGGAACACAACCGGGGTTGCCTGATATAAAGAGACGTAATCCCCAAACAGTGTTGCCAGATTGGAAATGTTCAGGTATCGTACCAGAAGCTCAAAATTATCGTATTTGGAAGAAAATTATCGTACACGAGTCAAAGTACAGAATACAGCTATTTATCTAAAAAAAACAACTTTTTGACACGACCTGCAAATTACCACAATAGATAACTAGGCGTACCGTGTTTACATTGGACGCGAGTAGTGCGACAAAATAGGCTACTATAGAAACCATTATAGGCTAATCAGTGACTGTTTGCACTGGATGCGACACGACACATCCCCGACAGTAAACCGATGCCTCATCTATTTATGACGTATTAAAATTATTTTTAACACTCACTTTGTCCGTCCAGTGTAGACAGACTTTAGCTGTTAACTCCACATCTGAGCCGATGTCATCGGAAGCCTGTGTGTTGCCAGATGTTGAGAGGGTTCTTGCCATCATGGACCGCAACATAGTGCTCGTTGGCTTTAAAGCAGGGCACCCTCCTGCATTCTTAACACACTCTGAGGTGTGCACGAGCGCATTTAGATTGTCTGTAATGAGCCGATTTCGTGTATAAATATAGAAGCCATATCACTACAACTACCATCATTTGAATTGCCATAAAATTATGAAATTATCGTACATTATGGGATTTTTTTCATTATTTTAGAACTCATCTAATTTTTAGTTTTTAAACGTAGAGAGTGTGTTAATTTGTGCAATGATAACCTACCAGCAATGTAAATATAATTTTTTTATATATTAGAATGAGTACATTACAATTTAAATTTATTAGAACGAGTACATTATTATTTATAGGCTTAAAAACAAGATGCAAACAATCAGAATATTGTACCTAGTGGAGAGTGCCCAATGTAAACATGAAACATATGCCATTACCTATATTGTACTGTGGTACAGTTATGGAGGTCCTTCATAATGCAGAGGTCAACTGCCTGCTCTGCCAATAGTTAGAAATGGCACTATAGTAAGCAGTGTTTAATAAACAGCTGTTTTACTAAATTCTGCTGAGGTGAAATTCAGTGCAGTCATATATCGTGATATGTATCGTATCGTGGCATCTGTATCGTGATACGTATCGTATCGTGACTTTGCTGGTGATACACAGCCCTAGTGAAGACAGTGTCAGTTTTCTCTTTGACAAGGAAATTACAAGCTGCAGCTGATTGAATATGGGACCAAGTCAGTTACATAATTTCCTGTTTTTGTTTTTTTTTTCTTTTAAGATGAACATTCTTTTGTTCTCACTCTTTCTTTTCCTCCATACAATGATGGTCTTATCTCACTCTACTTCACCGTTCCCACCTGCTGTCCCTGCTCCATACATTTCTTCTTTGTCTTCCCACAACAAAGGAAATTCAACATATCCTTTTTCTGGCCACGGTTTGATAGTGTTGAGCTGCTCTATAAGAGTGCCTGCTCCCCATTCTAATTATTTTATTAGTGTCGATATTTGCCTTGGCATGACGCTTGACTGAAAATCCCCCAAATTACCCTTGTCACAGTGTTCAGAGACGAAGGGCCCTCTTGACAGGCTGGTTAATGGTTTATGCGTTTGATGAGCTGGACTGGTGCCATGCTTAAGATCTCATGTAACCACGACAACCCAGCAGCGGTGTCTGCACGTCTGTTTGATGGTTTTTACGTCGGCTTGGGATGTGGCGGGGGGAGGGCCAGCATTCCGCAACATTCTTAAGAGAGAGATTGATGCGAGTTAAGGTAACTAGGTTAACTCCAGACTGTCAGATAAGGAAGGGCATCGTAAATGTGGCTGTGAGGTAAGGAGATCTAATGCAATGGCACTGCCTGCATTAAGCTGTCTGATGCACTGTTGCTAATGACTGCAATAAAAGTCTTATTGCTGTCACTCCCCATGGATTCAGAATTATTGTCGATGCTAAAAACAGCCTCATTAATGTCTGTTTCTCATCCGAACTCGTATCTCACGTGTCAATGCGGGGCAGAAGGAATGATGGAATGAGAAACGAGATGAGAGGGAAAGCGAGAGAGATCATATTTCTCTTTTTGACCTCTGAACCTTTGACAAGAGTCAACAGATATGACACATAACCTGTCAGTAAACATCTTTAAAAAAAAAAGGCCTGTCTAATCCATGATTAGTTTTTTGCTGCTTTTTTTCTGTTATTATCCTTCATCAGAGGTAGCTGAGGCACATCAAAACATGCAGTGTAGTTAGGACACACCTGAAGGAAGGTGTACACACAGATATCCTTAAACTCACTCAATCACAGGTGTTAAGCAGCGCCAGCAAACACCTGACACAGCTCTGAGCAAAAAAGGGGATTTGAGATACCTGTCCTCTTCAATAATATCAGTCGGTTTATTGCTACAAGTTAAATGACAGTCAAGGATGGATGTGTACATATGTATGTATGTGTGTGTGTGTGTGTATATATGTTATTTTAATAATAATAAAATTTATTTTATAAATATCTTTATTTTCAATACTTAAATCATGTAGTGCTGTATACTGTGTTGTTGCTTCTAAATTCTAAAAATTAAACTGACTTTAAAATGATGTCGACTTATGTTTTCTATTAAATCCTGTTTATATATATATATATATATATATAATTCTTGGGTTTTTATGTTTGATCACATTAGTTCTTTTCCCACTGCTACTACAATGTCAACTACTGGTGACACTTTAGTATAGGCACCGATTCTCTCTATTAACTAGTTGCTTATTAGCATGCCTATTATTAACATATTGGCTGTTTATTAGTACTTATAAAGCATGACCATATTCTACATCCCTAATCCTACCCAATACCTTAAATTAACAACTACCTTACTATTAATAAACAGCAAATTAGGAGTTTATTGAGGCAAAAGTCGTAGTTAATGGTTAGAGAATTATAATAAAGCGTGACCCAACTACTATTCACTTATGTAACAGTTTGAGTGTTTAATGATATTTTACGAGCAGGTGTTTAGTTGAGCTTCTCCGGTTTTTCAATCACATGTAAACTTTCTTCAGGCCTGTCATCAATAACAGCAAGCAAGACTGACATTATAAAATCTTGTTCAGATTCGATCTAATCCGGTTAGAAAGATCATCATAAATATTTTTATATGCTCTGTTGATTTTGAATTAGTCTGCTGTCAAATACACATCATTAGAATGAGAGCGGTGATTGATTCTTATTTTATTTTTTTTGCTTGTCAAGCCCAGACTAAAGTTGTTTTACATTGATAAATTATGTCAAATAAATGTTGGCTTTTATTGTAATAATTCCAATCCAAACCTTCAGATCACGTCAATGACTTCAAAAGATATTAAAGGCCTGAGATTGAAAAACTTTGTTTGCCAGCGCATTTGTTTTGGTTTCTTTTTTTCCACATTTTTCTCTTAATTTTTGGCAGCCATTCATGCTATGCAGCCTCTTACTGTAAGAGCACCATTGCCTTTTTTTCTTCTTCTTTTTTGTTTGAACACCTGCTCACATATTATGCGTGTGTGAGCGGCGGTGAATTTAAAAAGATTTCTTTCATCTGCTTCCATTCATTACTTCGCCAATTTCACTCTGTCTGTCCTCATTGGTGAGAGGGGAAACTTCACTAATCTGAGCTTTATGTGTTTTATTTCTTCATAATAGCGTTCACTCAGAACAGCTCCAAATATTTGTGCCGCTTTTTTCTGCTCTCACTGCCTGAAGCACTGAGGTGTCAACACTGTAGTCTTATTTAGATTACACCGCTTTGGTTGTAACAGGAGCCTGTGCATTGGGCACGTCGCTAAAACACGTCCACTACATGCAGTTACTCCACTCAGTCCAGAACCTCAAACGGTGCCTTTGAGAGACATACGAAAAATGTTCATATTCTGAAAGCAAATTTTATGTGGAGGAAAAAAAAATCAGTTTATGAAAATAACCATTGACAGTAACTTTCACTCTGTTTCTGCAGGAAAGAGATATTGGAAATGCCTCCTTATCCACATTTGGAGTTGCCCAGGCGGTTATCGAAATCATTCTCATGTTGTATCCTTTGCTGTGTGTGATAATCTAATGCTGCATAAGCTCCAGTCGAGTGTTTGATCACAGATTGTGTGTGTTTAGTGAAGGGACTCAAAGCTGTTTGCTTATGATTGTTGTGAGTGTGTTCTAGAGGGAAATGTTAGTGAATGGTTTGACGGAAACAACTGGGTTAGTCTTAACTCTTGAACCGTTATCTGATGGTCTCATCTGTGGTTGGCTTCTATAGCCTTCGCATCTTTCAGGAGCTCACACCCAGAAAAGACGACACTACCATGACAACGGTAGGATCTGCAACACTGCTTCAGTTTTAAGGCCTGTTCACACTAGGTTGGACTAACTGTATAAAACATTGACAATTTGTTGTGGAGTAAAATTGTTTCCAATTCTGAGAAGTTGAATTCTTGTCATTCTTCAACAAGGGGGGTGCCCTTGGGGGGGCGGGCCGCCCCACTAATATAATGGCAGGGGAAACACTGATATTATTTTGCAAGAAATTTGGTCATGGTGCATTTAATGTTTTTAGCCATCAACTATGGGATCTTTTATCATATATTAAATTTGGAATGGTGGAAATGTTTCTTAGTCTTGTCTTTTCTTGTAGATCATTGGTTGCTGTGTATCCATTCTAGTGCTGAGCTCGGCCTTGCCTGTCATGTCCCGAACACTTGGTAAGGTCCTCCTAACCTGCATGTGTACATACACTGCCATTCAAAAGTTTGGGATCAGTAAGATTTTTAATGTTTTTTTAATGGAGTCTCTTATGCTCATGAAGGCTGTATTTATTTGATCAAAATACAAAAAAACTGTAATATTGTGAAATTATTATTGCAATTTCTAATATTGGTTTCTTATTTTAATATACTTTAAAATATAATTTATTTCTGTGATGCAGCACTGAATTTTCATCAGCCATTACTCCAGTCTTCAGTGTCACATGATCTTTCAGAAATCATTCTAATATGCTGATTTATTATCAGTGTTAAAACTGTTGTGCTGCTTAATATTTTCTGGAACCTGTGATACTTTTTTCTTTGATTCCTTGAGGAATAAAAAGTTAAAAAGAAACAGCATTTATTAAAAATAGAAATTTTTTGTAACAATATAAGTCTTTGCTATCACTTTTTATCCATTTAACACATCCTTGCTGAATAAAAGTATTAATTTAAAGGTGACATATCATGAAAATCTGACTTTTCCAGGTTTTAAGTGCTATAATCAGGTCCCCGGTGCATCTACCAACCAAGGAAACGTGAAAATGATTAACCCAGTAACTTTGTTTTGGTAAGCCTTTTTCTGCAAGCGTCTGCGAAAACGAGCGCGTCTGATTTCACTCCCTTGGTGACGTGGCAAATGGATCTCATTATAATATGCCCCTTAATCTGTCAGTTTCCACCCACGGCGTCGTTATTTTGATTTCGCAAGCCACAACGGTGTACCAGCTCTAATGCCATGGCGAAAGTTTGAGCAAAACATGCTAACTGTTCTGCCTTTGGCTGCACAGACGAGCACAGAACACTATTTAGAGTCCCAGCCTCAGAGGAGACAAGAGAGCAGTGGATTTATTGATTTATTTAATGTATATTGCTGCTGCCAAACAGATCTAAAATAAACATGCGATTTATTGCCCAGCTGTTGTAACTCCTTTAAAGAGCAGGTCATATGGTTTTTTAAAGTGTCCTAATATTGTGTTTAGGGCTGCAACAACTAATCGATAAAATCGATTATTATCGATAATGGAAATAATCGACAACGATTCTCATTATCGATTAGTCAGGTCTGCCCACAGTGCATGTCCAACATCAGCTGGTCGCGTCAAATTAAAGCACTGAATTACAAAATGCATCTAAAAATAGTGGAGGAAACAGAATGAGATGCTGCGGGAGAAGGACGTGAACCAAGCTGCCCAAAACATGAGAATTCTTTATTTTAAGCTTTAAACTAACTTAATGCATTAGCGTAGGCTAATGGCTTGCCCTGTCAGGAAGCTTGACAGATGCGTATGCATCCTCAGCGCAAAAACTTTCAGTTTACGGTCATATGCTTAACTGTAAATATCACAAATTCACGCAAGCATTTCCATTTTTGCATTAATTGTGTTTGTGATTGTGTTCCTGCAGAACATTACTCTCACCTGTTGGTCAACACTGAGTTTGTGATTTTATTCGTCTTTATTATCTTTATTATTATTTAAATTTTTAATGTAGAGATTTAAACTATATTCACTATGCAGTGCTTAACAAATTTATTAAAACAAAATGTATGTAAGTTTTTTAACAAATTAGGTAAGGTTTGTGCCACTGCTACTCTAAACTTGGTGATTACCAAAATCATTTTTTAGCTTTCTGTATGGGTTAGTCCTCCAATATGCATAAGCTCTTTAGTTATGAAAGGCATAGGATGCCATTTTTGTTATTATGTAAATAAATTATATTTATTTGTTTCAGTTTGTTATTTGCCCAGTAAATGACATTATCATTGTTAGATTTAAAATTTTTTTTGACAGATTCCTAAAATATTTGTGTTTTCTCTTTATTATGACAGGTGGTCTAATAAATTAAGCACTGTATGTTTTCATAGCATTCAGTTGGCATGTTTGTTTGAAAGACATTAGGCAGAATGTGGAATAGTGTTTTTTTCCCCCAGAAAAAATATAAAAAATTGGGCTTTTTTTTGGTTTTTAATCTGATTAATCGGGGAAAAAATAACCGGCCAACTAATCGATTATCAAAATAATCATTAGTTGCAGCCCTAGTTGTGTTGGAGTCCCCTACAACAGGTTTAAATGCATCTAAGGTCAGAAAACACTGTAATTTTCCCAGAATATACATTTATACATAGAGTCATTTGTCCATGATTTCGAAACGGTTTGTTCGGTTCAGTTCTGAGCGAAATGTCTGTAAACCCCTCCCTTCCACAAGCCTACTCTGCTCTGATTGGTCCGCTGGCCAAGCCTGTTGTGATTGGCACAAAGATGAGCGCTTGAGCAAGTTAGCGAGCGCTACCATCTGTGTGGCCAAGTCCGCGGTTGTTTTTGATGTCGCGGGTTGTAGCGACCCCAATAACGTCATATTTAGGCACTGGAATGCGAATTTACCAGGGGAACCCCGACTGAAAGCGTGTATTTTACACCCCAGAACGCGATTTTTAAAGGGGGACCACCCTCGAAACACGATTGGGCTAGTTTTGAGTAGCAATTGGGCGGGTTTTGTTGTGACAACCTGGCAACCCTAGCATGCACCTTTACATAAAACAATAATATAGTGCTCCAATCAGTTCTTAAAATAATGACATAAAAACATTTTGTTTAACACTTATGCAAGCGAATCGTGCCCACAGCTGCTAAACTGTAAACACTTAACAAAATAATAATAGTGGATATGTTAGCCGAGTGATAACGTGACTAACTGATGAAACAATACAGTTTGAAAACCAAAATATATTGTGCTTTACCTGGAAACCTAAAGCCGCACTAGGTATACATCACATATTAGCACAAAAAAAAAACTTGATATTTTGAGCACTCAATTGAAAATGTACACATAACGTATCAATCATACTTACAGGTTGTGGTTCGGAGACGCTTGTTGGTCCAAATAAAGAAGATTAGAAGCCAACGAAGATAAAAGGCAAGATTAGAGAAGCAGTCCTCGGTAAAATGACGAGCACAACAAAAGGTTTATAACTACTCATTAAGGCGATTCTGAGACAATATCTTTATTTATCATGCACTTTTTTGATTAACAACTTTGCAGACTGTTTACATTGAAGGATAGCTACCTTACAAACTGCAAAAGATATATTTTTCGAAAACCCATATGACCTGCTCTTTAAAAAAAAAAAAAAAAAAATTTACTGACCCCAAACTTTCTATTTTGAATAAACACTGTTCTTTTTTACTTTTTATTTATCAAAGAATCCTAAAAAAAAAATATCACAGGTCCCAAAAAATATTAAGCAGCACAACTGTTTCCAACATTGATTATACATCAGCATATTAGAATGATTTCTGAAGAATCATGTGACACTGAAGACTGGAGTAATGATGCTGAAAATCCAGCTTTGCTTCACAGGAATATATTTTAAAGTATATTAAAATTGAAAACTGTTATTTTAAATTGCAATAGTATTTCACAAAATTGAATTTTTTCTGTATTTTTGATCAAATAGATACAGCATGGATGAGCATTACAAACATTTTTTAAAAAAACATAAAAAAAACTTACTGATCCCAAACTTTTGAACAGCAGTGTAATTTTTGAATACAATTATTCAAAAGCTGTATTCAAAAGCTGTAACTTTTGAATACAGCTGTGTATTTTTTGGGTTACCATAAACATTACATTAAACATTTGTTTGTGTTTGGATACTACCATTTTCATAAATTTTTCAGCTGCATTGACGTATACACATACAGGCAAACTCATTTCCACTGTTAAGATTTAACAAGTTACATTCCAGCAGGATTTGCCATAGAGATTTTACACAAGAATGGAGCGAGAAAAAGGACAGACGAACAGCCGTCACAATAGCTGCAATAAACAACATGGCAAGCTACAGACACAGCTGTTCAAATAGCATTGTGTGTATGTGTGAGTGAATGAGTGAGTATCAGTGACTCACTGGGAGCTTCAGAAAAATATCAACATTTCTGCTGTGCTGCACTGAATAGATGAAAGGAGAGGTTGCTTGAAGTATTTTTTATTTTTTTTTGACCAAAGAATTTCAACAACTTTGGTCATACAGTCTCAGACAAATTAAAACACATTTACTATCACATAGACTCACACACATCCCCCGTGTGGAAAGATGGGAGTCCTGCAGAAATACTGCGCGTGTGCGTGTGCGTGTGTGTGTGTACAAATATTTACAGGTTTGGCTGTATCTGTGAGGTCCAAAATATCTTCTCTATTGAAACGTCCTCACTAACATAGTAAAACATGTTGAACACTGACTAGTGAGCCAGACATCACTAGTTAAAATCATGAACAGCTGAATCATGTTTTTGTGGGGGTGATGTTTAGGGTTAGGGGTCGAGTTAGGACATATCATTAACCTTATATAAAACAATGGAGGTCTATAAGATGTCCTCACTAATATAGTGTGAAGTGTGTGTGTGTGTGCGTGCGTGCACATAACAGACTGCAGGAGCCTGTTGAAAATGTGGGAAAGGCAAACTGACTTGTGTGACAGCACTGACTTTTACACAGACAGTTAACAACTCTCACCCTAACACTCTCTTTTTTTAACGATATTAAACTCTTGATTTTTTTTTTCCTTTCTGAGAAGTAGGTTTCTTTATTTCACTAAGCCATTACAAGGGGTCACCTGAGAAAGAATTAGCTAAATAAGAGATTTGTTCATCAGTGAGAGAGTGCCATTCACCTAATGTTTTATGCCATTGTTTTAATTCAACATGGCTGTCAGTGACTAGCTGTTATAGACCTTGTTGTATCTGAAGGACTACAGATGTTATTAGATTCTATGCAATTAATTTACTTTGAATAATGGTGTAAATTTGACCACGGCCAAAGAATCAGGCATGCAGAAGAGAAACCTTTTGACATTAGAATTTTGCTCAGTTTAAATGTGATTCTCTTTACAATTCCTTTTTAAACGTTACAGAGTACAGAAACGGGTCATTGCCCTCATCAACTGGTCATGAAGTCTAGAAAAGCTCCTTTAATTAAATAAACTAAATTGTTTAGTTTATCCTTCTGCAGTTTTTTCTTCTTTTAGGACTGGCGGGAAAAAACTACAAGGGATTTATCAAGGTGGAAATCCTAGGGAAGAAAAATCCTAAAGTAAAAAATAAATTAATTAATTGGTGTAACTAATGAATACATTTGAGGATTTAGGTTTGCCAGTGTACACTGTTGGTCTTTAATTGCGATAATTAGTAAATGCTGGACAGACAAACAGTTTTTTTTTTTAAACCTGGCTCGTCAGTCTGAAAACTAAGCACATCTAACTTAGGATGAATATGTTTGCCCAAGGATGAAAACCCGACCCTTTTTTACCACTTTCAACAAACTGGATGGTGCTTGAGATTTTGAATGGAAACATTGAAGTTGTTTTAAGTTATCCTCAGGAGTCAGCCTGTTGTACCCAATGTTTTATTTAGAGGTAGTCCAGAAAAGGGTTGAATTATAATGTTATTTAAAGGAGCACCCAAAAGCAGGAGAGGAGGAAAAAAGAAACATGCCCAATAGGAAAAAGCCATGATGCAAAGGGGGAAAAGGAGGTAGATTGTTCCAGGTTGAATTATAATGTTATTTAAAGGAGCACCCAAAAGCAGGAGGAGGAAAAAAGAAACATGCCCAATAGGAAAAAGCCATGATGCAAAGGGGGAAAAGGAGGTAGATTGTTCCTTTTTGAAATATGAAGCTAGTTGAACTCTGATTTGACTGTGATTAAAAGTGCTTAATTTGACGTCAGTGGTTGTTAATCCTTTATCTGTCCTCAAACAAATGTTTCAGATCTTTGGAGTGTTTGATTTGAAATCAGAAAATTGAACATGAAAGTACTTCTATGAAAAATTGAATCCTTTTTCAGAAGTTTAAATTGCTTTGTAAAATGAATCTCTTTTAAATATTTTGTTATTTTAATGATGAACTCACTTGTATTTTTTGCCTTATTTTATCTTGTTTGTATCCGTCTGTGTTAAGTGATGAAGTGATGACCTGTGTTAATTCATGTCAGATTGCACATGCTGTATTCAGTATGATTAATTCAGGCAATCACTTGTTTGGCAACTTGGAAAAACAATACTCAAATTTCAGATTTTTATGCTGTACACATTTCTTTTAAATGTCCACATGCACCCTGTGGCCATGGATCATTTAGTCATATAAAAATAGCACAGTGCAACTTGTCCGTTTTGTTTCAGAAAGAATGTATTATCTGACGACAATAAACAATCTTCATTCTAACTGAAATATGACAGCAGATGGTAAATGTCAGACTTATCTAGGATGTGGGAAAAGATACCTTATTATGTTGTGTAATCTGATTAAGATGGAGCTGTAGTCCTTGAAGTGTCTTTCAGAATGGCCTTCTTTTTATCGTGTCTTCATCATGAGCCCTCACCTGCTCTTTCAGTCCTTTCTTTCCAACAAACCATCTCCCCCTTTCTTCACTCTTTGTTTCTATTTATGCTTGAGATTTTTTTTAAGAAACTCCCACCTATTGTATGTTTAAAAAAAAAATAGGGAATCTGAGAATTTACCATTTTTCTGTGTCTTACTTGCTGCAGGAATAACAAGGTTTGATCTCCTGGGTGATTTTGGACGATTTAATTGGCTTGGAAATTTTTACATCGTACTTTCGTACAATCTTCTGTTTGCTGTGGTAACCACATTGTGTCTGGTCCGAAAATTCACATCTGCTGTGCGATGCTGACCTGCACACCTAAAAGGGCCTCCTGACTGCACCCCTCAATGAGGGATTTTTTTATTTTTTATTATCTATAATTTTTCTCTAGTTTGATTGGGGGAAATATTAAGCTGTTTGCCAAGCTGATAATTTCATGTGTAATGAAGCATGCACTAGTCTCAATTAGGGCTTATAATTTTCCTCCTTAATTATTGTTTGATGACATTTTGTGCCCTTGTAGATCAGTATTTTGTAAAGTTAAATGGACGTTGTTAAAAGAAACCGATTTAGTTCCCATAAAAACAGCACACAAATGACATATAAACATTTTTGATAATGACAAGAGAGGCACCTTTATTACACATGATATTAGTACTAATATTAGAAACTACATTCTCTGAAGAATTGCAGAGTTGTCAAATTTAACACTGGCAAAGAAATCGTTGCAGTGAGTCTAACTGAACATTGATCATCTCAATTTAAGTTATAGATGCTTTAATGCCAAATTAACTAGTTCTTATGCAAATGGGGCACATTACAAAATCAGTTCAAAAAAAAATCTACAAGCAAAACATGATGGCCAGTCACAATGACAAATACTAATTGTCAGCATTGGTCTACAGCTGTCAAATTTATTGCTTGAATTTTGATGTGTAAAGTAAGTTTTGTAATCTGAAAACTTGTTATTCTTTGTCTGCCATTGCATATGTTTACATTCACTCCGTTAAAATGAAGATCAATTATTATTTATACGTTGATCAATTATAAATGAGGAAGCGTTATGATTTTAGTTTCCTCATGCTTTACTGTGACAATTCAGGTTTGTTGGATGTGACAGAATTAAGTAATGGGAATTGACAAGGAAACTCCCCGAAACATGTGCCTTACTCACAATATTGGCATATACTGGGTAGTATTGAAATATTACAGAGAGTGGAGGAGCCTACCTGCCAAATTTCTTCTTGCACTGCAACTGTTCTTGTTGTTTTCATTGGTAGGCAAGGTTCCGATGTGGACATTATGGGTTCGAGTCACTACCAACAACCAGCTTCTTATGTTATTGTGTTTACTTGAACTGGTTGTGGCAGATTGTGTTTTGGAGTGTTGCGACCTGCCAGTCACTCTTGGCAAAATCACCTCAATGATTTAACACGTTTAATGGAGTGTAGTGTATTGTAGTCTTGAATAAGGGAGGTGACAAAATTGAAAAGACAGCAGAGAAATGCTGCTGGTAGTAAAATGCACCAAATATATGGGAGAAGGTGAGGCACAATCTTGGGATATGCTTCCTGTTCCTGTACTTAAATCTGCTGCTACTTCCTTCACAACATTTGATACTATACTATGCTACATGTACTACGCAAACTGAGAGCATATAACCAATAACATACATCCATTGAACTTGGTTATTGCTGCAGAGCTTGTAAGGATCTATATATTTGCCTTATTTCAACATTCACTAGCAAAACAGCCTTCAAACATCTAGTCTGTACCTCTGCAGCTGCTTTGCTTTTTGCAAATGGCAGATTATTCATGAAGATATTTGTGTGTTTTTCCACTCACTCTCATGCTGGATTTTAAGCCAGCTCAGTCTGTTCAGTCTAACAAAATACTGGTCTACACAGATCAGAGGCTAAACTCGTACATTATGTAGGATCTTGTATATAAAGGCTGTGAAAACAGGACTGCAGAGCCACATCAGTCTGATTCACATCTATTAAAGCTTATTGTGCAGTGAAATGAATGTGAAGTCCGAGCGGAGTCAGATGTCATTACGTATGTAGAGCGCAGCACGACTCATTGAAGGGTCTCCTTTGTAGCTATGAAATACAGTGTTTTTTTTGTCTAAATGTTACTGATTACACAGTTAATGTACAGTATTTTCAGTATGGTTTCCAAACATTCCCATTCTGATGACAAAACCAATAGGCTAAAAGAACCATTCCTGACATTCCTCTTAAGGTTTTATGTAAAGCTGAACAGACATCCTGTGCGCAGTCTTCAGTTTTCGTCTCTTTAACTATGGCAAGCCTCATAATAATGTAAATGATGTATTTACATGTATATACAGTATATTTCTTCGTTTTATTTTTGTAGAATGTAGATATGAAACGGCTTTTGAGCCTCATTCATACTATGCTATTTGTGGAAAAGGCCAGACAATTAGTCATTCAGCATTTGTTTATTGAACAAAAAAATAATAATTTTTTTAATCACCTCTGATGCCTTAAACAGGCTTTCTAGGCTTTTTCGTTTTTGTCTCCTGTTGTCCAGTATTGAGGAGACAAGTTATGCATGTGTGAGACGTGAAAATGAGTTAGTTTGTGTACCTTTTTATTGACTAATTCACTGTGAATCCCTCTTGTGATTGTCAATAACATGGCATACCAAAACGACAGGGTGTATCTTTTAACTCGAACTGGCCAAAGTCAAAAGAAACTATCAGGGCACTGATATTGAATATTAAAGTTGGGGCAGAAATAATTTTAAGAAACTGATTGAATTTGGTGTCTGCAGAGGTCTAGGATTCACATGAGGGACACTGAATTTAAAGCCTGTGAAAAGGTCATTTAAAAACTGACACCTCAGTGGGTTCTGTGGTTCAGTTTGCTGCATTGTTTTGTGGTTTTTATTGTCATGGATTTAAAAAAAGTTACATGTAAAATATATTTTCTTCCTGTTGATTTGCACAAAGAACATTTTGTAAGAAAATATATGGGGAATAAGTGTATAATGTCAATAATTGTGTCATTGAAGTAAGCTTTATGTTTTTTGTGCGTATGTGTATTAAACTTTAAGGTCACTTTTGTCTGCACAAATTTTGTAATGCCAGAGCATCTTATATTATTATTAACTATATAATAAATTCTTTATTAACTACAGTATATAACACTAAATTCTACTCTTTGGCTTTAATTTAATTGGTGTTTGAGGAATGTTGCTGTTGCTTTATGCAGGACAAGGACTGGTGTGTCAGTTAGTGTGTTGGGTTTCTCAAAATAGTGGCATACTACAGTGATACTAGAAATAACTGTGAAAGAACAAGAAGCCAATTCATTCCATATTCTATAATGTGCTTGTCTGTACAACATTGGTACAAGAGTTACAAAAAATGTAGTACATCAAAGATGCTGTGGTATTTCAGTTTATTAGTCTGTTGAACTGTTGACAGCGTTTCACTAGAAAGTGTCCTGTCTACACATCAAAACAGCTTGTTTGTTCATCATTGGCTAAATGTCTGTCGGTCTCATTTGAATTCTCATCTTCAGATCCCAAGGGAAAGCTTAATTCTGTTTCCATTTTTGCCTGTTGCTTCTTTTACGTGTGTGAATGTATTTTCAGAATGTTTTCTCTCTCGTATTTGTAGAGTTGAATTGCATAGGTTTGTGAAACAAAATGTTCAGATAGTCTTTAGTTTACTTGTATTTTACTTCAGTTTACAATAAAGTTTGTGACTTTTGACAGTTTTTATCGTACTGTTTGATGTAGAATGGCGATGTGGGATAAGTTTGATTTGTCTCATTATATAAACTAGAACATCAAGACAAACTAATAAATATACTGATCTCTAATTTGAAACAAGCATTTTAGCATAGTGTGACCGGCAGAGAGGGCATGTGGGTTTCACCTCGTGGCAGAAAAGCTCAAAGGCTTGCAGACAGGGTTCATGGAAGAGATGGGAACAGGACAATAACAGGACATTCCTGTCTTCCTTCGATGAGCCATTGTGTGAGCCCAAGCGGTTCAGGCAAATGGGGCAGTCCTGAATGCCACGCTGGACAGCCTGGTGGAAGCAAGAAAAATCATGTGTGATTGTGTAATTGAAAGAAGTCATTTCAGTACTAGGAACTGGCAGCAGTAAACACATAAGTGAGTACGGACAAACAGTAATATCGCTAGTGAGAATTACACAATGCTTAAAATGCATCTATGCCTATCCAGTTGCTTTCAATGAGGTGCTAAAATGTCAACTACACAATATATATCATACAGTATCCATTTGAAAATTTTACCCATGGCCTGTTACGATCAAGCATCAATCATGCACTATCCGTAAAATGTGCTGGCTTCTTGACTTCTAAGAGACTATAACCATTCAAAATGCACAATGATTAATGCTGCCAAGACACCACACTGACACCAGCAATCAGTAGTGCCACTCAATCAAATTGCTGCTCTGCATCTGTTGATTAGACGACCATTTACATTTTTCACTCCTCGCTGAATATTCAAAATGATCATCACCATTAATTCTGCTGATCGAGATTGAACGTAACTGACTGTGCCGTGCTTGGTGCTAATTCATGCTAGATTTCCTCTGGTTAACTGTTTTGCTGCTCAATTATTATCAGTTAATACTCAATTATTAATAATGGTTCTTATTATCATCGATGTTGGAAACCGTTTTTGCTTAATATTTTTTTCAGGATTCTTTGATAAATAGAAAGTTGAAGAGAACAGCATTTGTAACATTATGGATGTCTTTACTGTCACTTTTGATCAATGTATCCTTGCTGAATAAATTACATTTTTTATTCTTCAGAAAAAAAAAATCAGAACCAATCAGCGTATTAGAATAATTTCTTAAGAAAAAGACTAGCCTAGAGTAATAGCTGTTGAAAATTCGGCTTTGCCATCACAGAAATAGATAATATTTTAAAATATGAAGAGTTTATTTGCAAAAACAGATAACTTTTTTTTTTTTCAAAAATCATGTTTTTTATAATGTTATGTTTTTATTGTGTTAGTTAGCTGTATTTTTTAGTTATTTTTTAACCTAATTAAATTACCCAACTGTGTTTGATTGAGATTAATTGGAATGCACAATGAAAAAACCTGATTTTTGAAAAATCAGTTATCTGTTTTTGCAAATGAACTCTTCATATATTAAGTCATTTTAATTTGTAATAATATTTTACAATATTACTGATTTCTTACAACAACATAAAAAATTCTCAATTATTTTGACTGATAATGTTAATTTGTATTTAATCATCATGCTTAAGCCTTCTATCATTCCCTTATGTTGCTTTTATTAACAAGCATTTGCTTTCCCGGCCTCTGAAATGCTCCTGTGAAATGAAAAAACAAAACATGCCCGTGAACAGACGCACACCTCGTGTTCCGTGAGAGTGTTTTCCTGCTCCATTATCAGGGAAAAATGATTAGCAGATTTATGACCGCTGTGTGCAGCTCGTATCACAGTTGTAGTTCAGTTGAGTCTAACAGAAAGTAGGTGTGCAGCCATAATCATTAACTGACTGTCAAGCTTCCTTTATTCAGCAAAGGCCAATCGCTTCGCACGAGAACATTTCATAATTGTTTGTTCTGTTTGTCTGGGTGGGAACGGGTTGGTTCTGACTTGAACTCTGCTAACTCTAGGTTTGAGAGTCTCAAGTTATCTGCCCGACCTCTCATCCAGAAGATAAAAAATTAGCGTTTCCTTTTTTAGTGGATCACTGCCATTGGCTGCCTCAACACAATAACAATGAGGCCCACTGAAATGCCAAATCTTGTCTTCAGCTCGCATGTAATGAAAGGCTAGGCATGCATTATCCGCGCAGCTTGTGTTTTTTAGTAAACACGGTGGATTATTTCCACTCATTCATTAGCAAGGTAAACAATCATCTCTTGGAGGGTTTGATACTGTTAAATCGGAACATCTGTGCCGCCAGTGCGGCTCGAGCGCTCCGGGACAGGTGGCGGCACGTCGGGTGAAGGGCAGGACCGAGGAGCGACTGCAGAGAGGGATTAGAGGCATTGATGAGCTGCTCTTTTATAAAAGTACACTGGGATTTCAGTCTCCGTCTGCATGTGTAGGTGAAGGAGCAGCAGCATTATCGCAAACCTTCTCTTGAGCTTCCAGCCAGTCCTTCTCCTCCATTTCAGAAACACTCGTGTACTTGTCGAAACGGCGAAGGATGTCGTGGCTCGAGGCCACGGAGCGATCGATATCACTCAGGAAGGCTTCCACGTCTGTGCTGCATGACTGCACCAAGCTGTCGTTCATCTCCTGAAACTGATTAATGAAACGAATGACATGAAAATGGGTTTCGGTCAGACATGACAAGGCAAACTGATGTTCCGTCATAACATAGATCAATTCGGAGTCTTGCACTGACAATGAAACGCTGTTAACAGCCAGATCAATAGCAGTATGAATGGATGTATGAAGGAAACTTTCTGGACGATCCCAGAAATTGACCTGCAAGATTAAGCATGCACAGGTACGCACACACATCCTGTGGCGGCTATTGCAGCGAATTACATCAGTGGTTTCTTTATAGCTGTATTTGATCAGTAATTAAACAGACGTTAAGCGTTCCACAGAGTTCAAACGTAGACCTTCCTAAAGAAGGACAAACAACACTAGGCAGTGTGAACTCTGCCTCCACGCATTCAGGGAAAAGAGAGGGTAGGTACAATCAATCTTAATGTCACCAATTTAACTTTCTAATATGTTGACTTAGTGAGGTACCTGAGGAAAAAAACGAGCGACTAGTTGATTGAAAACCTATCTAAGAGCAAAGCGATAAGCATACTGCATTCTTTCTCTCTTTGTTCCATTTTGTTTAGCTGGTTAACTGCTTCCTGGTGTGCCAAAGGTCCAGAGAAACATGCAAAAAAAACAGAAATTCACACTCATTCACAAGTTACATTCCAAATATTCCATGTAATATCATGGCTCTAAATCACAAGGGGAAAAAATGATCAAACATATACCTTGAAAGTAGGGCTGGGTAAAAAATATCGATATCTCAATATTAATCGATTCTCATTTTTACAGAATGATATCGATTCTTAAATCCCAAGAATCGCTTAGTCTAGCCTGTTTTCAGTTAATGGACGGAACATTGAAGGGCACTTGCCATCCAATAAATCGCAATAAGCATTGTGCGTTGGTACTTTTAATATGAAACTAAGTCTCAGATTTCAAATTCTGTCCATTGTATTGCAGTATTTAAACAATAAATGCCGTTTTGGCGCTGTTTAATGTGGAGGGACAGATCGCTGTAGGCTTCAGTGTTTAATGTGGAGTGACAGATCGGTGTAGCGCCTCAGCTCAACAGACGCAGCAGCGCGAGGCACACGTGAACTGATCATCTCCTCCACATTAATAGCAGTTTCAGCACAAAATAAACATGACTAAACATCTGAACAGTGGCGGCTCGTCGGGGGAGGCAGTGGAGGCACAGCTTCTCCATAATTTTGAGTTGAAAATGGGAGGAGGACGATTTAATGTTAATAAAATTCACAATTCATTTCAGTTCACGTCTCAGAATGTGTATTTTTTGTTTTGTAATTTCACAGTTGTAATACCATAACGTGAAAGCGCCGCTTTTCTATCGCGAATGTGCCGAATCTGCTGATGTAATTACAACCGCTAAATGATAGAGAAGGGGAGGGGGAGGCCGGGGGAGAGAAATTGAAGTAGAAATATTATTATGTAACTGTAACTTTATTATTGTAAAAACGTCATTAATTTTAACCTGCAATATTATAGTATATAATATTATAGTACCAACTGACTGTTGATATATTTTACAGCATTAGTTGAGATTTTTTTTTTTCTTGAGAAAATTTGGCATGTACTGTACCTGATATATATCCAAAATAATCGATGTTGAATCGAATTGAATCGAATCGAATCGCAAGCTTGTGAATGAGAATTGAATCGAATCGTGAAATTTGTGTCAAAACCCAGCCCTACTTGAAAGCACTGTAAGTTGACAACAATATTAAACTTAATTTATATAACCCCTTTCATACAATGCAGCTCAAAGCGCTTCACATGAAAACAAGTAAATACCATAATAATAACATACAATTAAAAATGAAACCTACTTTAAATTGATAATAAAAGAAGATAAAACAACAATACATCAATAATACATAGAATGCTTAAAAAAAGAAATTTGCTAATTAAAAGCTTAAGTAATTTTTTTAATGTTTTTATCTTTCCATTAAAATATTTAGTGATCTCTGGATAAGGTATTTGCTAAATTAACACACTTGATGTAAATGTAGATCATTTCCCCTTTTCATTCCTGCCACTATAAACTAACTTGCCTTGTAAGAGAGCACTTGGCTATTAGTTGTTTAGCAATCGCAATTGAACCATACTCCCTAGTAGCAGACAAATGAAAATAAAAAATATATTTGGCAACACTCAACAGTATACGATACTGTCACAGGGGTCAATGCATACATCTGTATGCTTTTAAATAAGCTTTTCAAAGCAGTTTGAGAATATAGCTTGGAGTCTGGAATAGTGCTGTCAGTTCCAGAACCGTAACCAAGACTTGACAGTTGATGCCTCACTAGATGGCAACCTTTGCTTTCCCTGGACTAATGCATGGGGACTTCTGTGTGGGATAATGAGGGGGCTGCAGGGCCAGACGTCTGTGTCAGTGAGGTCCCTGCCCAACAGCTTCTAACCACTTTCACCTGCTATCAGTATCCTGCACTCTGAAGGGTCAAAGAGTTCATGAAAACTGCTATGGCAAATGACTTTATAAAACAAACTCTTTAAGCCTTCAATTCTAAACTCACAAATCTTGTACAAAATTTAAAAAAATTTATTTACTCTTTACTCTCTTCATTTTGCAGAATAATACATAAAAAACTCCAAAATGACCAGACAAACCATATTTTCTGGCATATTATATCAAGAATACAATAATCTAATTAATGAACTTTAGTTGTTTAGCAATCGCAATTGAACCATACTCCCTAGTAGCAGACAAATGGAAATAAAAAATATATTTGGCAACACTCAACAGTATACGATACTGTCACAGGGGTCAATGTATACATCTGTATGCTTTTAAATAAGCTTTTCAAAGCAGTTTGAGAATATAGCTTGGAGTCTGGAATAGTGCTGTCAGTTCCAGAACCGTAACCAAGACTTGACAGTTGATGCCTCACTAGATGGCAACCTTTGCTTTCCCTGGGCTAATGCATGGGGACTTCTGTGTGGGATAATGAGGGGGCTGCAGGGCCAGACGTCTGTGTCAGTGAGGTCCCTGCCCAACAGCTTCTAACCACTTTCACCTGCTATCAGTATCCTGCACTCTGAAGGGTCAAAGAGTTCATGAAAACTGCTATGGCAAATGACTTTATAAAACAAACTCTTTAAGCCTTCAATTCTAAACTCACAAATCTTGTACAAAATTAAAAAAAATTTATTTACTCTTTACTCTCTTCATTTTGCAGAATAATACATAAAAAACTCCAAAATGACCAGACAAACCATATTTTCTGGCATATTATATCAAGAATACAATAATCTAATTAATGAACTAAAAATGCTATTGTATTGAGAGACCGATTGAGAGACCGAAATGTCAATTAACAGACTAAAACTGTCATAATGTCTCAATTAATGTTACCTTTTTTTCAAAGAATACTCGTCTTAATTGTTGGTCTTTCGGTGGCACATACTTCTTTATGTTGCTGTACCATTTGCGAACAAGGTAGCCACGCCAGAAAGCCTGTATTCTGAGATTTGAAAAATAAAAACCAAACACAAGAAACCAATGACACGGTTGGGAATGGGAGCAATTTAGATGGATGTAGATTGTCCATCCACATGAACTTCACATCTTTACCTGACAGCACACTTTTCCCGATAGAGACGAGCACCATCGTAAATCACCCTGGTCTCATACTGCTCCGTCCTGCACATCGGGCAGCTCTTCCTGCCTGAGAACTTCTCAAAAGACTTCAGACACACCTGAAATTAGTGGCACAAAGGGACTAATTCACAAACTCGGAGTGATTTTCACAAGGTGTTATCAAAGTCTCCATGCCAATTAATGATGTTGGAAGGATCTGTAATGACTTACTTTGTGAAATACATGAGAACAGGAGAGTAGAACCTAACCAAATACCACAAAAAACATAATTAGCTATTATATAAAAACATTTAGTTGACCAAATGCCAAATGTAGCATACGTGAGTTCCTGCATATTACATATTAAAATATAGCATGGTAATGAATCGATCAAGGTGGCCAGTGTGTTTATGTACAAAAAGATGTGATATTCTTGATTAGTCACCAGAAACAGCAGCTGAGTGTACATGTATACTGTCTGTCTACTGCCTATAAAACTGTCTACAGCCCACAGCTTGTCTGATAATCTACATGCATTCAGACTCCATTAGACTGTATTCAAGAGCAAATTTCTCACACCAAATCAACAAACACAGGAGCAGGTGAAGCATCTAGTTAACTTGTTAACAAACACAATAGTTCCAAACTTTGTTTTATATATTTATATTATATTAATATTTCTCAAATCAATTTGTATTATGTAGTTAATAGTATTTCAGACTTTCAATATTCTTTTGTTAATGCATAATCTACTTGCATGCACTTTATTAATTTTCATCTCTACAAAAAAATTTAGTTTATGCCAATAATTATTATTTTGAGAATCATACCTCAAACTAATACATAGATAAAATATTTGACAAATTATAATATATATTAATAGAATTATATCAATTAACATTGCTGTTTAACCATAGTGCCTTACGTCTTTTTTGCCACATCTTAGTAAAATAATGTGAAACCATTACATCTATTACACTAATATTTACATCATGTGACTAAGGCACAGCTTGCCTGTTGTTCTGAATAGCTGGTCTTTTTCCCAGCATTCTTGAGGAGACTGGCATCTTAAAAGGGAATTGGGAAGCTGTAAAAATGGCTGGTTGACCTTCCATACTGACCTACATCATTCATGATACAGTTGAGTTACAAGACATTATGGTAAATTTGTAGAGTTACAGGACACTAAAAAGTGCGTTTGTGTACATCTGGGAAAAAACAAGGGCATCTGTTGACCGAAAGAACATTGGAGGGCACTACAGGAACTCATGAAGATAAAAAGAAAGAAGAGGACATATACAGTAGCAGTAGTAAGTTAAAAGGGTCATATGATGCGATTTCAAGTTTTCCTTTCTCTTTGAAGTGTTACAAGCTCTTGGTGCATAAAGAAGATCTGTAAAGTTGCAAAGACTAAAGTCTCAAATCCAAATAAATATTCTTTATAAAAGTTAAGAGTCAACCACACCTACCTAAAACGGCTCATTCTAACACGCCCCCACATGTCTACGTCACTATGTGGAAATATTAGCATAATGCCGCCCAAATGTGCACGCAAAGAAAGGTGTGGTTTCAGGAACAGCAGTAGTGTTGATGCAGCATGTCAGGGAGACGCTGTGTGTTTCAGTGCGAAAGCAAAAGCACTTTATTTGGCCTTCCGGAAGTAGATGCAATTAGGAATCATTGGTTAAGATTTAGTTACAACAGAACAGCACAACCCAGATGTTCGAATTAGTGCAACGCATTTTATGGACGACAGTTTTTGAACCTAGAAGAGTACAAAGCTGGCTGTGCACAAAGGCTATTTTAAAAAAATATATAATAATTCCGACTTTGCTATGACAATCTAGCGCTTCTGAATCAGCGACTGTAAGTATGTTTTGTTACTAGTTTAAGTATTTGCTATTGACTGTTCAAATGCAGAGTTCACAGGGGTCAATGCATACATCTGTATGCTTTTAAATAAGCTTTTCAAAGCAGTTTGAGAATATAGCTTGGAGTCTGGAATAGTGCTGTCAGTTCCAGAACCGTAACCAAGACTTGACAGTTGATGCCTCACTAGATGGCAACCTTTGCTTTCCCTGGACTAATGCATGGGGACTTCTGTGTGGGATAATGAGGGGGCTGCAGGGCCAGACGTCTGTGTCAGTGAGGTCCCTGCCCAACAGCTTCTAACCACTTTCACCTGCTATCAGTATCCTGCACTCTGAAGGGTCAAAGAGTTCATGAAAACTGCTATGGAAAATGACTTTATAAAACAAACTCTTTAAGCCTTCAATTCTAAACTCACAAATCTTGTACAAAATTAAAAAAAATTTATTTACTCTTTACTCTCTTCATTTTGCAGAATAATACATAAAAAACTCCAAAATGACCAGACAAACCATATTTTCTGGCATATTATATCAAGAATACAATAATCTAATTAATGAACTAAAAATGCTATTGTATTGAGAGACCGATTGAGAGACCGAAATGTCAATTAACAGACTAAAACTGTCATAATGTCTCAATTAATGTTACCTTTTTTTCAAAGAATACTCGTCTTAATTGTTGGTCTTTCGGTGGCACATACTTCTTTATGTTGCTGTACCATTTGCGAACAAGGTAGCCACGCCAGAAAGCCTGTATTCTGAGATTTGAAAAATAAAAACCAAACACAAGAAACCAATGACACGGTTGGGAATGGGAGCAATTTAGATGGATGTAGATTGTCCATCCACATGAACTTCACATCTTTACCTGACAGCACACTTTTCCCGATAGAGACGAGCACCATCGTAAATCACCCTGGTCTCATACTGCTCCGTCCTGCACATCGGGCAGCTCTTCCTGCCTGAGAACTTCTCAAAAGACTTCAGACACACCTGAAATTAGTGGCACAAAGGGACTAATTCACAAACTCGGAGTGATTTTCACAAGGTGTTATCAAAGTCTCCATGCCAATTAATGATGTTGGAAGGATCTGTAATGACTTACTTTGTGAAATACATGAGAACAGGAGAGTAGAACCTAACCAAATACCACAAAAAACATAATTAGCTATTATATAAAAACATTTAGTTGACCAAATGCCAAATGTAGCATACGTGAGTTCCAGCATATTACATATTAAAATATAGCATGGTAATGAATCGATCAAGGTGGCCAGTGTGTTTATGTACAAAAAGATGTGATATTCTTGATTAGTCACCAGAAACAGCAGCTGAGTGTACATGTATACTGTCTGTCTACTGCCTATAAAACTGTCTACTGCCCACAGCTTGTCTGATAATCTACATGCATTCAGACTCCATTAGACTGTATTCAAGAGCAAATTTCTCACACCAAATCAACAAACACAGGAGCAGGTGAAGCATCTAGTTAACTTGTTAACAAACACAATAGTTCCAAACTTTGTTTTATATATTTATATTATATTAATATTTCTCAAATCAATTTGTATTATGTAGTTAATAGTATTTCAGACTTTCAATATTCTTTTGTTAATGCATAATCTACTTGCATGCACTTTATTAATTTTCATCTCTACAAAAAAATGTAGTTTATGCCAATAATAATTATTTTGAGAATCATACCTCAAACTAATACATAGATAAAATATTTGACAAATTATAATATATATTAATAGAATTATATCAATTAACATTGCTGTTTAACCATAGTGCCTTACGTCTTTTTTGCCACATCTTAGTAAAATAATGTGAAACCATTACATCTATTACACTAATATTTACATCATGTGACTAAGGCACAGCTTGCCTGTTGTTCTGAATAGCTGGTCTTTTTCCCAGCATTCTTGAGGAGACTGGCATCTTAAAAGGGAATTGGGAAGCTGTAAAAATGGCTGGTTGACCTTCCATACTGACCTACATCATTCATGATACAGTTGAGTTACAAGACATTATGGTAAATTTGTAGAGTTACAGGACACTAAAAAGTGCGTTTGTGTACATCTGGGAAAAAACAAGGGCATCTGTTGACCGAAAGAACATTGGAGGGCACTACAGGAACTCATGAAGATAAAAAGAAAGAAGAGGACATATACAGTAGCAGTAGTAAGTTAAAAGGGTCATATGATGCGATTTCAAGTTTTCCTTTCTCTTTGAAGTGTTACTTATATTTCTGCATAAAACAGAGTAATATATAATATATCTCTTTTAGAACATTTCCATAATAGTCTTTATACTTCATACTCAAAAAAGGGCTTTCCTTCTTTAAAGGGATAGTTCACCCAGAAATGAAAATTCTGTAATTAATTACCCACCCTCTTGTTGTTCCAAACCTGTAAGACCTTCGTTTATCTTCGAAACACAAATTAAGATATTTTTGGTGAAATCCGAGAGTTTTCTGACCCTCCATAGACAGCACCACATTCAAGCCCCAGAAAGGTATTAAGGAAATCGTTAAAATAGTCCATGTGACATCAGTGGCTCAACCGTAATGTTATGAAGCTACGAGAATACTTTCTGTGCACAAAGAAAACAAAAATAACAACTTTATTCAAAGAGTTCACAAGAGTTCTATGACACTTGCACATGATGCTGCTGATGGGAGGAGCCACCATTCTGACATAGAACCCGGATGCGCTTTTTGTTTTCTTTGCACATAAAATGTATTCTCGTAGCTTAGAGAGTACTTCTCGTAAAAAGTATTGCAGGGTCTATACAGGGTGAGAAAGCTTTCGGATTTCATCAAAAATATCTTAATTTGTGTTGCGAAGATGAAAAAAGGTCTTATGGTTTGGAATGACATGAGGGTGAGTAATTAATGACAGAATTTTCATTTACTTCACCCAGAAATAAAAATTCTGTCATAAATTTCTCATCTTCATGTCATTATAAACCTGTATGACTTTTTTGAAAAAAAAAAATGTTTTTGTCCATTCAATGAAAGTCAGTGAGGTGCAATGTTTCTTCAATTGCAAAAGAAAGAAATTCATACAGGTTTGGAACAACATGAGGCTGAGTAAATGAGTGACTTACAAAATATTAAGAATACTGAAGCACTTCCATGTATTATGTAGCTTACAGACGCTGCACCTTACATTTGCTTTGAAAGCACATTTTGTGAAAAGGTTGTTTTCTATAGGCCACAGTGCACGCTAGTTCAGCAAGTCAGCAATAACAATTTTCACAAAAGGATGATATTTAAATGGATATATAATACACACACATGTGTATATATATATATATATATATATATATATATATAAAATATATATAAAATCATCAAATGCTAAAACTCTCAAAACTCTAAAATTTTGGGATTGCCCCATGAATCACATAGGCTAAATGGTCTCTTTTGGCTCCAAAAGTTAACAACTTTGGGACAATGTTAATTTTGTACCAACTATAATCACTGCACTTAACTGTCAAATGTATTTAAATGCGTTCCAAATTCATGTGGCTCAAAAATGAGAGGGCACATAAGTGGGCACGATGCCTCTGAACGCAGTTACCTGTGGTTGCAGACGAAACTCCTCCCTGCATATCACACAGGGCTGGGTTGAGTCTCCCTCCTGGATGGACCTGGTTTTGACCTCTGCCCACTCCTCTGCTGTTAGTCTTCTTGAAGGAGCTGCCACCAGACCCATCCTCTGGGCTGCATCAACAGCAACAACTGAACATTAGCCAATGTGGGCTTTCAGCAAAACCTAAGCATGAAACACAATAATCGCAGCCTACCAAGAGTCAGAGGTGGAGGGCCACGATCCAGCACATACTCTCTCTCCTCTTGTCCTTGTGTCTGCTCAGGACATATGACGCTCTGCCTTGAGTTGTGATTTCTGTGCTTCCTACTAACATGTGCAGCCCCACAGGAAGCGTCTGATACGGGGAGGTTACGGGGAATGTTTCGAACAAGAACGCTTCGTGTGATATGGTCCTGTAGTGCTACAGCTGCTAGAGTCAGCCTCCCGCGCTCTGCTTTACAGCCAAATCCCTAAGGAACATGGAGCTGTTTAGACTACTGGTCTACTGCTGCATGAGGGCAAGAAGCATGTTTCCATATTGATGGCAATCCCAATGTAACTGTGTAATCTGACTAAATAGCCTTTTTGTCAATGAATCTACTTCATAATTCACTGAAATTTAATTATATTAAAGTGGATTCTGTTTTGTTTTTTTTATCAGTGACTACATATTTCTCATGGGTTCTTAAAAGTGTGAAATGGACCGATACTAATTCTCTGTGTCCTGCATTTGATGAGTACTCAGTCATGACAAACATTCTTGAAACTGAGCGCTCATGAGCAAAGATGGCAGTCTTTTGTGGGGTCCTTTCATCAGTCCATCATTGTCCACTGAGATGATGGCAATGCTAAGGTATTACAGACCTAGCTGGCTTTTTGTCTTGGGTTTAATTATAGACGAATGGCTATGAAGCATTACCACATTTTAATCCAATATTTTCAGTCCAGTTCAAACAAATCTTTAAACTTGAAACTGTGTGTTCAAGAGCTGCGCTGAAGTCTGTCATATTGATATGGAGAGTCTGGGAGTTGTGTGTCTTACAGCAAGTTCCTTTTTTATGAGAAGATTGCATGTTGTTAAATTGAACGTTGCGTCATACGCCAGTGATTTATAAGCACCATAACAATGGTAGATTATATTGTTATGATGATGATGATAATGATTATAGGATTAAATGAGCGTTACTGAATTCGTAAAGCAGAAAAGATTTTTAGTCACCAGCCTCATAAAACTGTCACGATTGTAACATTTTAAGTAACTATTATGCCGTTTATTTTACAGGTCAATTGTTTACCGTGGCAACCTAACTTTACACCTGACTGTCCCGGAATCAGAACAGTAACCATAACAGCTAGCAAGAGCGCAGAGACAAACGTTATCTTAAATTATGAGGCGCAAAATAAGCAGGGACGCATTTTGATAACCTTACAAGTCACCCTCTCAAACTAGCATAACAACGCAGAGATGATCCTCAAAAAGAGTAAAGAAAAGAAAAGCACCTCACCCGCGGCATTGCTGTCCACAGAAACAGTGTTTGCTTGGTCGCTATGCAACGAAGTTCCATTCAACTCAGTGTGACGTTCCCACGAACTCAACTAGTTTTCCTGATTGTCAATAGATCTGATTACTAGTGATAAAGTGAATAGCGGAAATACTTTTAAAAATGTACATTTAAATTCAAAAATACGTTTTTAAAACATTTATTATGAGGTCTGAAAACAATTATGTTCATTTTTAATATGCACTCATAAATAATTATTTGGCTAAATAAATTAAGAAACAATCATGTCAAGTTTATGGATTTTGTTAAAACCATTATATAATTACAACAGCACCAAAAACAATCTTCCTCAGTCTAAGCAATAGCTAAATTTGTCACCACAATGGTGAACAAATGGTGAAAACAGAACATTAAACACTGTCCTTTTTGCTTATCTTGTCCAAAAAAAAAAAAATTTTAAAAATTGTGCCATTTCAACATTCACTCCTCAATTCCCTCACTGGGAAAACCTTAATTTTTAAATCAGCTGCGGGGGTAGAGTTTGCAC